CGTTCCCCCAAAGAAGACTGGTAAAAAGCCTAAAATGGTAGTAGTTCCTTGAGCAAAGAATTTAAAATGGGAAGCTCCTATACGTATAAAGCAAGAGGTTTTGAACTGCTAATAGTACATCAAACAAGAGGTATGTTCCTAACAATAAGAGTAATAGAGAAGGTGACTATATTCTGAAAATTTTAAAAATATCTCACCAAGATGGGAAGAGAAAGTTGTGAGCAGAGCAGTCTATAGTCCCTTCTTAGTGTGCTCAATCTTTGAAAAAAAATTAGTATTTTGCATTCTGAGTGTAATTTTGAATGGTAAGCAGTTCTTGCTCTCCTGAAAGTATTTTTGATAAAAATAATATAGAGCTAAATCCTGCAGCTGTTCCTTCATGGATCACAATTAATGAGTCTGGTGTGAATAAAAACCTAAGGGCTGCAAGATTTGGTCTGTTTTTCTTAAACACATTTTCTTTCTTTCTTAATCTGTACATCTGCATTTGCTTCATTATCTGTACCCACTACACGACTGAGATGTAACTAGATAGAGTGATTTTAGGGTTATTTCATGAACTGCTTCTACTTCAGATGCCCTAGAACAGGGGTGGGGAACCTCAGGCCCGGGGGCTAGATGTGGCCCCTGATTTGCCTGGATCTGGCCCCCGAGGCTCATGGTCCCCCCAGCATTGGGGAGCCCACGCTGGTGCTCCAGCCTCCTGCTGCCCCACCACAGGGCTGGAGCACCCAAAATCTACTGAGATGGACCTCTGTAGGCTTTGGTGTGTAAGAGGAATATGGAGAGTGTGTTTCCCCTTCTCAGTCACATCACTGAGGGTGTGGCTTCCCCCATCCTCACTGCTGTGTGGCTCCCAACTGATCTTTCTGTGGGTCAGCAGATTTGACCCAAAAATGATTCCCCACTCCTGCCCTAGAACAATAATTGCATTGTGAGAAAATTTACCATTCTACTTCCTTTAATTTTTTACGTGGCTGTTAAAATGCACAACAAATATGTGACTAATTTTAAACTTCTGGCTAGAAACTGAAAGGTATTGGATAGTCTCACAGATCACGTATTAATGGGCTGAAGTGGAAATCCGAGATAAAAAAACCTGACATGATAGTCAGTGTTATCCCCAATAAAAGAAGGCCTTTTAAGAAAGCAGCTTAAGGCCTAACATGATAGTCCATCCTGAATCCTGTTTTTCCTGACTCTCAACATTATGTATAAAGTAACTTGAAGAAGAAGAAGAAGAATCCTTGCAGGCCTACTTTTTTAGAAGACTATTCGGATGTAGAAGCTCTATACACCAACATCCCACATGAAGACGGATCACAAGTAATTAGAAACACTATCCCAGAGGACACCACTGCCAATCTGATAACAGACCTATGTAACTTTGTTCTCACCCACAATTATTTCCAGTTTGAGAACAACTTATACCTCCAGATCAGCAGCACAGGTAGGGGTACACACATGGCCCCACAGTATGCTAATATCTTTATGGCTGACCTAGAACAACATTTCCTCAACTCCCGTCCTCTTTTACCCCTTCTCTACTTATGCTACATCGATGACATCTTTATGATCTGGATGCATGGCCAAGAAACACTGGAGACATTTCACAGAGATTTTAACAACCTACACCCCACTATCAATCTCAGCCTGGACCATTCTACACGAGAGATCCATTTCCTGGACACCACAGTACAAATCAGCAATGGAAAATTAGACACCACTCTCTACAGAAAACCCACTGACTCATACAGTTACCTACATGCTTCCAGCTCCCATCCAGAACACACCATACGATCCATCGTCTATAGCCAAGCCCTTCGATACAACCGCATCTCTTCTAATCCCACTGACAGAGACCAGAAACTTCAGGATCTCTACCAAGCATTTATAAACCTCAACTACCCATGCGGAGAAATAAAAAAGCAAATTGAAAGAGCCAGACGAATACCTAGAAACCAACTACTTCAAGACAGACCCAAGAAAACCAACAATAGAACACCACTTGTCATCACCTCCAGCCCCCAACTTAAACCTGTCCAACCCATTATCAATAAACTACAGCCTATACTGGAACAGGATACTAAACTCCGAGAGGCTCTGGGAGACAGACCCATAGTCTCCTATAGACAACCACCTAACCTCAAGATGATTCTTACCAACAACTACAGGACATACCACACTAATACCAACCCTGGTACCTTCCCTTGCAACAAACCCCGTTGCCAGCTTTGTCCACATATTCACTCTGCTGATACCATTATTGGACCTAACCAAGTGAGTTATAAGATCAAGAACACATCTTCCTGCACATCCAGAAATATAATTTATGCAATCATGTGCCAAAAGTGTCCATCTGCTATGTACATTGGACAAACGTCTCAGACATTTCGCCAAAGGATCAATGCCCACAAAACAGATATCAGACAGGATCACAAAGAAAAAACAGTTTCTTGCCATTTCAACCAGAAAGGACATTGTCTCAACGACTTGATTACTTGCATCCTGCTTAAAAGGCCTTTTAAGACTTCACTTGAAAGAGAATCCTCTGAACTGTCATTCATGCTTAAATTCGACACTTTACACTCCAGTTTGAATAAAGACGCTAATTACCTTACCCATTAGCTCACAGACATTTACCTCCCCCAACTCCCTTCTGTTCTGAAATTTGATTTGTCCTTTTCATATGTGTTCATTTTTTATTATTGTATCCTTTGGTATATATGGTTGTGACAATTTTCTTCCATTATTTGATCTGAGGAAGTGGGTCTGGCCCACGAAAGCTATTAAACCATCTTGTTAGTCTTTAAAGTGCTACATAGTCCTGTTTTTTTTTTCCGTCAAGACATTGATAAAATGATCAATTCCTTTTTGGGAGTTCTGAGACCATTTATAGAGGATGCTATTTATTGGTATGATATAGCTGGATCTTTTAATAGTATCTTGATAAATGTGTAGTAAAGGCTGAATCCTCTTCCATAAAGATTGAGGAGACTGTTGTAACTGTTTTCATTGCAATCAAGACAGTTGGCAGTTGCAGCAATACCACTTTATAAATAAGCTTGTGTAGCTATAGATGTTACTTATGGTCATAAAATTATATAGCTCATTTAAAAAACTAGCCAGAATGTTTCAGTGACCTGTGGAGGTGAGTGCCAAAAGTTAACTCTGTTCTGCACAAAAGAGTGTTTCATTTGAATGTTTCAAAATTATTGCAGTGTTAGTTTAATATAAGTAAAATAAGGGGTAGCAGTGAACATCACAAATCTGAAAACTGAAATTTTTCGGTTTTCAAAGATTTAAAATGAAAATTTCAACTTGAAACAAAGTTTACAAACAAAAATCTCAAAATAAAACATTCTCCAGTGAAAATGTTACATAGGAACCAGTTTCAAATTTGACTAGTTTTAGAGACCAGAAGCATCAAAAAGCTAAATGGGGATTAGACAATAAGTCTTAGTCCCACTCAAATGACAAAACTGATCACCAGTTTTGGTGATGGTTTTGGCCATGGTATATTAGCAACAACCTTCGGCATCCATCCACTTTTCTGTGGGACACAGAGATATTGTTCATCTCTGAGAGTACACTACAGACTCAACTTCCTGTGTTTTCAGAGCCAATGTTGATGAACTTCAGTCCTATTTACATTCCTCCTCTTAATCCACTCTTCCATATACATTAACAGGTTTTATACAGTGCTATTTTTCTGTGCTTCTAAACTTTTGTTTATAGACAACAAAATGACAAATAACAAAAACTAAAAAATACTACTTGAAATATGAGAGTCATCCATGGCTATACATTAATTCCATTCTAACTGGCAAAACACTTACCTCTCTGTAAAAACAGATAGGCTATGTCTACACTGGCGGGTTCTTGCACCCGAAATATGCAAATGAGGATAAGCGTGGAATATCACTGAGCCTCATTTGCATATCTAATGAGCCGCTATTTTTGCAGAAGAGGCTCTTGCACCAAAAGGAGCTGTCTACACTGCCCCTTCTTGCACAAGAAAAACCCTCTTGCGCAATGCCGCTATGCTGATTATTTTCAGGAATAATGGCATTGCGCAAGAGGGTTTTTCTTGAGCAAGAAGGGGCAGTGTAGATGCCCCTTCTGGCATAAGAGCCTCTTCCACAAAATGGCGGCTCATTAGATATGCAAATGAGGATCAGAGATAGTCCATGCTTAGCCTCATTCGCATATTTCTGGCACAAGAACCCGCCAGTGTAGACATAGCCATAATGTTTACTTTCTCCCACCCTTTGGAAACTCTAAAGGGAAGCAATTGTCTTTTACCATGGAAGTATTGCGCCTAGAGAAATGAAGCTCTGTTCTCTGTGGGAACTTCTGGGTACCACTATAATAATGCAAATACAAGCAGTCCCCGGGTTACGTACAAGATAGGGACTGTAGGTTTGTTCTTAAGTTGAATTTGTATGTAAGTCAGAACTGGTACATATTGTAGGGGAAACTCTAGCCAAACATTTCTCCAGAGCTCAGTTTTATTCTCCCACGCCTCACTTCCCTCAGTCCTTTATTCTCAAGCTGAGGTGTCTGCTGAGAAAAGCCGCTCTGCGTCTCCCTGGTCTGCCGGCAGGGGGGCACTAGCTTCGCGTCTCCCTGGTCTGCTGGGGGGAAGCAGCTAGTGCAGGGTTGCCTCATCCCGTTTGTAAGTAGGGATCCGATGTAAGTCTGATCCATGTAACCCGGGGACTGCCTGTAATTAATCAGTGTGCCATTTCACACAACTGAGCAAAATGTCAGATGGACAGGGAATATGGAAATTAATATATAGTACATGTGCAGAATGTATGCTAAAATATGTTCTTAGCTATTTATTGTTTTGGTTTGTTTACTTAAGACTAAGGAAAGAGTACACTTCTAGTATCTTTATGATAAAGAAATTCCATGTCATTCATGAACTGACAGATTGTTTCCAAGGTTGGGTAATCAAACTTTAAGTCACTGTTATAAAAGCAACAGTAACATACCTGGAAAAGAATGTGCAGGGTTTGATCTTTCTGTCTGAAGTTTTCATTCAAATCTTGTTGTTGCTGTATAAGTCTGAAAATGTCTTTACCTAAAATAGATTTATATTATGTAAGATCATTTACGAAAATCGGTAAGGCAGTTGCATCAATTACTCATACATACTATAGAAATGTATTTTAGTGTTAGACTACTATATTGTTCCGATATTTAGTATGCAAGATAGCCTATACATGTTAATGTACACATATGAAAACTGTGCAACTAAAACTGTCTGGTATCTAAATACAATTATGGTAACTACAAAACAATGAGGTACCTAAATTACACAAACATTTAAAATACACAAATCCATCCACCCAATTCTTCAAAATAGCTTTCTAATACTTAATACATCTTTCAATGTAAATGGGATATAATGATTTTTTCATGAGCCATAATCAAGTGACCAGGGGAGCGGAGCAGACAGGGGGCTGCAGTCAGTGGAGTTTAAGAGGGAATTTGACAGAGGGAGGCCTACGATGGTCAGGAAGACCCGCAACACCTGTGCCAGCAATGCTTCTGTCTCCTCCACCTGTGCCTGGAGCCAGACAGACCACCTGAGCATGGATGCCTCTACCCAGATCCTGGTGTGGTTTTGCAGGGACTGTGACTTGCAATTCCCACTTACTGATATCCAGGCTGGGAGGACCATCCAATGTGAAAGGTGCCTGCTGATAGAATCTTTCAGGCAGCAGGTGGGAGAACTACAGGAGGAGGTGGCTAGGTTAAGGAACATCCAAATCCATGAGCAATTCCTGGACAGTGTTCATGTACAGACGGCTGAGGTAGCTGTCCCAGAACACAGGACAACTGACACACTACTGGTGGAGGAGGAGATGGCTCAGGGTGGACACTGGCAGCTGGTTACTTCTGGCAGCAGGCAGTGCTCCACCCCTGCTCCGAACCCTCCCACCATGGTACTGGGAAACCGTTATGCTCTTCTTGATACAGGAGATAAGGAATCACCCCCTACAACAGAGGAGGAGAAGCTTCGTACTCCCAAGGCTGGAGGTCTGCTGCTACCACTGCGAAGAGGAAACATAGGGTAGTGGAGATCAGAGACTCTTCTGAGGGGGATGGTGACGCCCATCTGTCGCCCTGACGCATCATCTCAGGAGGCATGCTGCCTGCCGGGGGCCCGTATCTGAGATATTACAGAGACATTGTCGAGGATTATCCGGCCCTCTGACTGCTACCCCATGCTACTTATCCATGTGGGCACTAATGATACTGTGAGGTGTGACACTGAACAGATCAAGAGTGACCACAAGGTTCTGGGAGTACGGGTGAAGGAGTTTGGAGCACAGGTGGTATTCTCTTCGATCCTTCCTGTCAAAGGTAGGAGCCCAGGCAGAGACAGGTGCATCCCTGAAGGTGAATGCCTGGCTGCGAAGATGGTGTTGCCAGGAGGGCTTTGGCTTCGACTACTATGGGATACTATTCCAGGAAGGACTGCTAAGCAGGGATGGCGTTCACCTTTCGAGGAAGGGGAAGACCATATTTGGATACATACTGGCTAAGCTAGTGAGGAGGACTTTAAACTAGGTTCAACAGGGACAGGTGACCAAAGCAAGAACATGGAGACCTGGGAGATGGGTGGGAAATGGGAGGGAATGTGGGCTATAATAGCAGAGAGGAAGGAGGGATAAGGCAGAACTGGGAGGCAAGATGAAATCAGTATCTTAGATGCCTATATACAAATGCAAGAAGTATGGGTAATAAGCAGGAAGAACTGGAAGTGCTAATAAATAAATACAACTATGACACACACAGCACTTTTAATGAGCAATGACATTGCAGGAACTTAACTACTAAGATCCATATCAATAGAAGACCATTATATTGACTACAGTACTTGGGTGGAAATCAGATTAATATTTCATTTTATTAATATCAGCAGAACTGACTTAAATGGGGCCTGTGTGTTGTGTTGTCTTGCCTTAATCTTTGTATTCATGCCTGTCAGTGTGAAAGAAGCTATTTGCATATATTTGTATATATAAATGCATGCATATGCAATCATACTTAGGTGGAGGCTCTCAACATGTGCTGTGAGGTATCACTGTGGCCCCTGCGGCTTCCAATGTTGAGCAGCCCTGCGCTCAAGGCACAGCATGCACTATGCTATGCCTAATACATTAACAGTTATAGAACAGAAGAAATTATTGCCTAAGTAACAAGACTTCTGATGTTTTCCAGGTTCTGTAGTGGGATGTTTGCCAGATAACAACAAACTTTGTATATTCTAGATGAAATTGTTCCACACCGCTCCTGGAACTTTTCAAAACAATGTGTGTATATTCTACACATGTAGCTAAGTGCTAGAAAATGCAGTTTATTTCCCAGAAGAATCATTCTGAATATTTTCTCTTTTTGAAGATTCAAGTTTTGGTGGTGCTCACCTCAGGCTAGATGCCCAAATTGTGCGTATTCTAATGGGACTATACTTTACCCTCCATTGAATGTTACCCAAAATAGCTATTCTGTGTCTTTGAAACAAGCCTGTTATTTTGAAATATAACATGCTTGCTATTCCCATGTCCCTGAAAACCTCGTTATATGAGGATTAAGGGATGTTTCGGAATCGTAGTTTATTTCAAAAGTAACTCGAAATAAGCTATGAAATGTGCGTTGCTCAAACTGGGTAGCTTATTTCAAGCTAAGGTGCAGTGTAGACACACCCTCAGAAGGATTTTGCAGCTAGTTGCCTGCCTGGACTGACACACACACATAACCTGCACAGTGCTGCCTCCACTCCAGCTGCAGATCTTCAAGCGCGCACAAACAAGCATCTGGAACTCTCAGTCCAAGAGCAGTGAGCACTCTGGGGTGGGATAAATGGTGGCAGTGTAAATACAAGTAAAACAAGTTTCTGTGTACTTTGTTAATTGATTTTATTCAAGGGTTAGTTTGTTAAACCCTGTTTCTTTAGGTGGTTAAGTAAAGGTGTGCTAATTCTAATTTAATCAATTAGATGTTTATTATTTATAATTGTTGTTTTAGAATTAGATCCAGATTATTTTCAGAATATCATTATTCTGAAAGGCTCCCAAGGCACACCACTAGGTGTGTATAGGGCCAGCCAAACAGAGGCACCATGGTCTGAATAGGAGAGGCAGACCCCATAGAGAATGGGTAGATGATATAGCAGATTGAGGCGGAGATAGGCTACAGAAACTAAGCCACTCTACACTGGACAGGGAAAGATGGTAGGAAATACTGAGGGAGGCATTGGACACCAGCCCATTGTTGTTGTTGTTGTTTGATGATGATGATGATGATGATGATGAGCAAGAGAATGCAGCAAAGGGCTGGATAGGGGATCCCCAACTATCTAACATCACACGGGGATACTCAGGATCACCTTTAATATTAAAAACATCAGGCACACAGGTGAGCATTGCCTGTTCCTGACTAGCCCAGGGATGAAAGAGGGGATTACATAAATTATATTTTCAAATAAACTTATAATAAGGAAGCTGAAATAACACAATTCCAGGTCACGAGATATATTTTTTAATTACCAGGGTCTCTCCTGTTCCAGGAAAGTAGCTAGAAAATTGGGAAGACATTTGCTCAAGTATAAGGAAGGAGGCTGTGATCCATTAATAAAGGGCTACTTCATTCATCTCAGGGACATACTGCACAGCTAGTCTATGTCTACACTACATGTTTTTGTGGCAGACAATATGCTAATGAGAGACTCGTTAGCATAAGTTGCAACATCATTGGCATATTTTCTGCCATTTCTTTTGCGCAAGGGGCTTTTGCGCAAAAAGAAGCCGTGTGGCTGCTTCTGTTTTGCGTAAAACCTGTTTTGCACAAGATCCTTATGCCTCTCCCAGACGCGACTTATGCTAATGAGTCCCTCATTAGCATATTTTCTGCCACAAAAACGTGTAGTGTAGACAAAGCCTTAGGGTTTGTTTACACAGTGGTGGAATGCTGCATTAAGATGGTGCGATTTCTCAAGAACACCAATGTATTATGCATTCATAGGTGCAAATGGACCCTGATGGTGCGCTTTAACATAATGATAATTGAAACGCCATTGCATTAAACTGTATGAGGCCTAGGGAACTTCAGCACATACCCCCAGGGTCGACACAAACTAATTAATGTGCAACACATTAGTTCACTTTAGAAATCACATCTCCAAAGAACATATTACCTCACCTTGAAGACAAGGCCTTAGTCATTCATATAAGACAAAAGATCACTACTTTGTTTTTCACCAGTTGCTTTCAATCTGTTTGCTTTTAGTGCGATGCCTGGCTTTTAATACACACAAACATATTCCACTAAAAAGCCATATAAAAATGTAGATAAAAAAATGCAGATAGTCAAAAAGATGCATGTAACCATATTTTCCCAGTTTTAAGACGAGCGGCTGAAATTAGCAGACATTTGGAAAACAAAAATCTGAGTGTGCAAAATGGAAGATATAGATCTGAACTGTTCCCTCAAGGATCTTACTTGTTACTTCAATTGAGAGAAGGTGAGTCACACCTGCCTCTAGCTGACCCACGTATTTTCCTTCCCTTTTCAGTGCAGCACTCTAGCCATAATGAAACCATAATTACCCTACTGTTGGCCTGGTCAAAATATGGCTCGTGGGCTACATCCAGCCCACCAAGCCACCGGATCCAGCCCGCAGAGGCAGCAGGGAGCCCCAGGCAGTCTCCCCTGCTTGCCCCACAGCCCAACAGGCCGTGCAGAAATGCAGCTGCCGGGCTTTGTTTCTTTCAGACCTGGAAGGAAAGGGGGTAGCTTCAGGAGCTGCCCCAACCCCAGTGCAATCCCATTGGCCGGTTTTTGGCCAGAAACTGGCCAATGGAAGCTGCTTATTTGAACAACAGGCAGCTAAGAAGCACCATGCCCCCTCTCCTCAGCTCAGTTATTCACTTAAGCATATGGCCAGGCAAGCAGGCAGGCTGGCTGGCTGGCAAATGTTTTAAGTTCTGCAAGCCTTACAGGAGCTGCCCCAACCCCAGTGCAATCCCATTGGCCGGTTTTTGGCCAGAAACTGGCCAATGGAAGCTGCTTATT